GATCCTTATGTAAAGCGCGAGTGTGGTGGCATTTTATTACTGTCTAATTTGTAGCCGCCATAATGGTTGCACATACGAGTCGAGAAAGTCGTTGCCGAGTGCCCTCTTGATATTAACCCCTCATCCGCTTGAGTTACTTTCTGTTGCCATTACAAGCAATTGAACTTTGTTACTTAACTGTTGTTGTCTCCTTAGTAGGAAATTTTGCGCGACATGCCTTCGTGGTGCAGCAATGCTAAGGGTGTCTACCGTTAAGGTGGACATTTATTGGATTTTAGCGGCGAAATGGTATTACCAGATGCTAACGTCATTGTGAAGTAAAACAATAGCAACCAAGTATTGCCCCTCGTCAGACAAGCCGTGAAAATGGTTCTCAAATTAACATGGCCCAGATATGAATCGAGTCAACAGAGATTTCTAATGGTTTCTAAGTAAGGCCGTAGTAAATTCGGCAGATGAAAAAAATTCTGAAAACACTGTTTCCTGCTTCAGCAGCAGATGTATGCACAATCATAACCCAGGGGATTTTCAATGCCTTTTTTTTACTAAAATAGCAACTTATCTTGTTCGTGTTCTTGTAGTTGCTTCCATTGCTGCAGACGTTTACGGACAGACTGTGTTGTTGTAATGCACGTTTATTATGAACTGTTAATGAGTTCATTACGGCCTGTTAAGAGTTTGACAGCCGACACAATCGACCGGGTAAAAAGAAAATAGAGCAGATAAGGGCAAAGCTGTAGGAAAAGCTCTCGTCACTTCAATTCAATATTCACTTCAAAGGCAGACATACAAGCGACGCCGCTTACCAGGTTTACAACTGAATTAGGGTGGAAAGCAGTGTTGCCAGAGAAAAATTTCGTTTGGAGCTAAAACGGTCGAAAAAAAGAGCTAAATAACACTAATAGTAGCTGAGGCGCTACGTATTTTTGTTGAGGTTGAGCATTTATAGACATAAGGTTGTTTTCACATTTTCGGCAATTTTAATAAAAACAACGAATTTTATAAGTTTAAGTGCTGAAAACATCTTAAAACCAAAATAAGGTGCATATATTTCGAATTCGTTGCTATGGCACTTATAACAGTGAACTAAACTTACTTTACAAATTGTTAAAGTTTGTAATTTCAGATATTTAAATTGAATAATGTTTTCGCAAAATTTTTCTGGAAAGTTTTACTTCCAGCTCTCCTTAAATGTAAAATTAGTAAGGTAAAACAAAATCCGCGCTATCAGAAAAAGGGTTTTCTTCTAATTAATTTTTGAATTCTTTGACCTAGATCCAAGAGTTTATGGTGGAAACACTGCATCTCAAAACTTTCCATTTTATCAACGCTTAAGTTTTGGCTTATATACACCAAATACAACTAAAACTTTCTAGAGCTAAAAAAGTGCTAGATAAATTTGAAAAGAGCTAAGGAAAAAGCTAGGAGCTAAAACCGAATTTTCGGAGCTAAATAGAAAGATAAAGAGCTAGATCTAGCTCCAAAATCACCAAAATGGCAACACTGGTGGAAAATGCAGAGCGTAGAGAA